GTGGGAGACCTGGAAGAAGTTCATGGCTCAAGGCTTCAGATTGGCCCAGCTCCAGCCGTTGGGGCCAACTGGGGAGTGAACCAGCGGATGGAAGATCTCTCGCTCGCTCACTCTCTCTGTAACTCTGCCTTTCAAATAAATAAATTTTTTTTAAAAAATCTTTAGCTTTTGTGCTAGAGAAAAATCTGCAATGAATCTGACCAATAAAGGTTTGACATTCTCAGTAGAAATTAACGTACTAAGAGGATTAAGAAAACGTTGTCTATGGCTGGCACCGAGGCTCACTTGGCTAATCCTCCGCCTGTGGTGCCGGCACCCCAGGTTCTAGTCCCGGTTGCTCCTCTTCCAGTCCAGCTCTCTGCTGTGGCCTGGGAGGGCAGTGGAGGATGGCCCAAGTGCTTGGGTCCCTGCACTCACATAGGAGACCAGGAGGAGGTACCTGGCTCCTGGCTTTGGATCAGCGCGTAGCGCCAGCCGTGGCAGCCATTAGAGGAGTGAACCAACATAGAGAAGACCTTTCTCTCTGTCTCTCTCTCACTGTCTATAACTCTCTCTCTGTCTCTCACTGTCTAACTCTGCCTGTCAAAAATTAAAAAAAAAAAAAGTGCCTAACAGTAGAGGTATAACATAAAATAAGAAATGCCAATGGCTAGCAACAAAATTCAAACTGGGAAGGTATAGTTCTTACCATTAAACTGGTGAAACTGAAAAGAAATAAAACATTACTTGTAAGAATGGACTGAAATGAACATTTTTCAATGGGAGGATGAATCAGTGTGCAGTCTTGCAGTAACTTGCAGTATTTATCAAGAGCCTTAAAAATATCTGGGCTCACAGGCACTGCGGCTCACTTGGCTAATCCTCCGCCTGCAGCACAAGAACCCCAGGTTCTAGTCCCGGCTGGTGCGCCAGATTCTGTTGCGGGTGCTCCTCTTCCAGTCCAGCTCTCCGCTGTGGCCCGGGAAAGCAGTGGAGGAAGGCCCAAGTGCTTGGGCTCTGCACCCACTTGGGAGACCAGGAGGAAGCACCTGGCTCCTGGCTCCGGATCAGCGCAGCACGCCGGCCGTAACAGCCATTTGGGGGTGAACCAATGGAAAAGGAAGACCGTTCTCTGTGTGTCTCTGTCTACTCTGCCTGTCAAAAAAAAAAAAAAAAAAAAAAAAAAAATCTGAGATCTTTGAGCAAGTAATTCTATATCAAAAAAAATCTTTCTTAGGGCTGGCGCCACGGCTCAATAGGCTAATCCTCCGCCTTGCGGCGCCGGCACACCAGGTCCCTGTCCTGGTTGCCCCTCTTCCAGGCCAGCTCTCTGCTGTGGCCCGGGAGTGCAGTGGAGGATGGTCCAGGTGCTTGGGCCCTGCACCCCATGGGAGACCAGGAGAAGACCTGGCTCCTGCCTTCAGATCAGCGCGGTGCACCAGCCAGGGCGACCATTGGAGGGTGATCCAATGGCAAAGGAAGACCTTTCTCTCTGTCTCTCTCACTGTCCACTCTGCCTGTCAAAAAAATTTTTTAAAAAATTAAATAAAAAAAACTTTCTTAAGGAATTATAAAAGAAATTTATTTTTTTTTTTGACAGGCAGAGTGGACAGTGAGAGAGAGACAGAGAGAAAGGTCTTCCTTTACTGTTGGTTCACTCCTCAATGGCCGCTGCAGCCGGCGCGCTGCAGCCAGCGCACAGCGCTGATCCAAAGCTAGGAGCCAGATGCTTCTCCTGGTCTCCCATGCGGGTGCAGGGCCCAAGCACTTGGGCCATCCTCCACTGCACTCCCTGGCCACAGAAGAGAACAGGACAGGAAGAGGAGCAACCGGGACTAGTACCCGGCACCCCAACCAGGACTAGAACCCAGTGTGCCGGCGCCACAGGCGGAGGATTAGCCAAGTGAGCCGTGGCGCCAGCCAAAGAAATTAATTCTTAAAGAATTAAAAAAGTTTATTTATAAAAATGTTTATCAAAGTATTAAGTTGTTAATGGAAAGAGTAAGAAAATCTATCAAACAACAGCTATGTAAATTGTGATTAATTCATACAAAGGGCTACAACAGTCACTTTAAAATGCTTTAACAGGGGCCCACACTGTGGCACAGTAGGAAAATCCTCCGCTGCGGCACCAGCATCCCATATAGGCACCGGTTCTAGACCTGGCTGTTCCACTTCCGATCCAGCTCTCTGCTATGGCCTGGGAAGGCAGTAGATGGGCCAAGCGAGACCCAGAAGAAGCTCCTGTCTCCTGGCTCCAGATCAGCTCAGCTCCAGCCATTGCAGCCATTTGGGGAGTGAACCAGCATATGGAAGACTGTTCTGTTTCTCCCTCTCACTGTCTGTAACTCTACCTCTCAAATAAATAAATAAAATCTTTTTTTAAAAAATGCTGTAAGAGTTTTTTTTTCACAGTGGGGAGAATTCCTTGCAACAATTCCAAGAATTCTTGCAAAAAAAATCAAAATGTAAAACTGAATATATAGTACATTCTCATTTACAAAAATACGTATTGTATGTGCTAGTGGGTTCTTTTTTTTTTTTTGGCCTGTATTCAGTTCAAGGCACTGTGCAGGAAAGTTCTACATACACTATTCCATTTAATCACAACAGCTTTCAAATACAGTTGCATTTCACAAGTGAAAAAAGACAGGTTCTAAACAGGCTCAGGCTCAGTTAGGAAGTGGCAAAACGCAGGTCAGACTATGAACACGTTCTCTTCGCTACTCCACACAGCACAAGAAGAACTGTAGCTCCCTCCGTAGCGCCCTCGGTGGTAGGATCATGAACCCCTTTCTGTACTTTCAGTGGTTTTCATAATCACATATTCGTAAACAGCATGACTTTAAAACCCCCAAAGTAACTTTTAAAACGTCCAGAGGAATTCTGGAAGGAGGCAGACAACTTACATCTCCTCATCTTCATCTTCTTCATCCACCCACACTGGCTTCTTTCGAGGCAGATCGCCTTTCGCTTCATTTTCCACTTCTGAGTCACCAGAGTCTTCATGAACTTGAACCTACAGAAGACAAAAACTCTCTTCAAGCACTGAATTTTCCCGGTCCCGGGGTGGCAGATACTCACCCCAGTTAGTTAGATGGCTTGTGGAATGCTCTGACGAAATAATGGGATGCAACACAATGAAATGCTATCGCATGAGACACAAGCATCAGAAGCAGAAAATGCGGAGACCAGAAAACAGCGCCATCGGCTGAACAGGCGAGGCAAGCCACAAGGGTCAGGGACAGAAAGTCCACATGCTAACAGGAACTGACCAGGTACAGAGGAGGACAGGTAAGAGGACACAGGCGGCCAGGAGCAGCAGACACGCCAGGAATGCACCTGCTACAGGATCAGGAGCTGACACACATCCCTACTTCAGTCTCTCTCCATGTTTAACCTCCGGAAGAAACGACTCAACGCTATCAAATGTAAATCCAGACCAGCGAATACCCCCCAAACCACACTAAAGAAGGGGCCAGTGATTTCTACTGGCTCTACAGCTGGTTTCAGACCCTCCAAGCCCAACCAATCCCCCTCTGTCAGGCAGGCGCTTCCTTTCCCTGGACACAAATCTGCACAGTGCTGAGCACTTTACCAGCAGTTCCCAAACTCCTCTCCCACTGGGTTGCTGCAGCTTCGACCCGAAGCACCCAACGGAGGCTGCAGCTAGATAAGCTCTCCAGTTAACAAGCCCTCATTGAGCCATCTTAGGGAGGCCCTGACCCGCGACCTGACCTGAAACTCCATAACCTTCCCACCCACACCAACTCCCCCGCCCCCCACGGTATTCTGTTCTCCTCTCCTCACACCTGTCACCGATGTACTTTAAATTTAGGTGCCTTCTGCCTCTGCTGCCCACTGCTGTGTCTCCCCCCAATGTCCATCTACAGCATGCCTAAAATTTTACTCCCTATCTGGGCAGGAAAAAAAAAGGAATATAATTTACAGTGATAAAGAACCTAACGGTCCTAATGACGCAGGTTGGGCCACTGACAGTATTTGCAAATACTCGAGTTTGCTGAATGGGCGAATACAAGCGATCATTCTCCAAAGCTGCTGTGCGTCAGGCCCACGTGGGAGCGCTTAGGACGCGGACTCCCAGACCCGCGCCCACCAAGCGATCCCGTCAAGTCCTGCATCACCGCCAGGAATCGGGGGTGCTGGGCTCAGCTCCGGCGCGAGCGAGCGCAGCCGAGCCGCTAAGGAAGCCCGCGACTACAGTTAGCGAAACAAATACGTGTTGAGCGCCTGCTGGATACCCGGCGCAGCGGCTCCTCCGGGGGCGGAGAAAGGCACGGTCCCCGCCCTCCCGAGGCTCGCAGGCCCGCGCCGGGGGGCGGCGGAGGCTCCGCGGCGGCCCCCGGGGCCCGCGTCCCCGGGCTCCCTCCCACCTGAGCGCTGCCCGCCGCCGCCGCAGGTCGCCGAGGCTCCGCCCCCGCAGCCTCGCCGCCCACCGCGCGCCCCGCCCGAGCGCGCCCAGCCCGCGCGCCGCGGCCTCCCTCACCGGCGGGCCCCGCAGGCGCCGCAGCAGCGCGTCCTCGTCGTCCTCCACGTCGCCGAAGACCAGCTCCTCCAGACACCGCTCCGCGTCCGGCTTGTCGTCCTCCAGCGTCAGGCGGTTGCGCTGCCGGAGCAGTCTCTCTTCCTCCGCCGCCGCGACTGCCATCGCCGCGGCCGCCGCGCTCGGCCGGGCCGGCGCTTTCTGCTGGGATGAAAGGGCAGACTTTCGGGGCGGCCCGCCCGTCGCCACAATGGCTCTCCGTTCTGGCTTCATTCGAGTCTTCCGATCCGGCTTCGCTCCGGTCCTCCGGCCCGGTTTCGTTCGGCTCCTCCGTTCCGGCGGCATCGTTGAGTTTGAGAAGAAACGCAGGCGCTCACGTGGAACCTCAAGCGCATGCGCCCAGGCGCCTCACCTCCCGCGGCCGCCGCAGCCCCGGGGGCCGGAAGGAGCCTGCGCAGCCTCTTGCCACGTGACCAACCCTCCCCGCCCCCACACTACGTAACTCTGTTCCTCCTCGCCTGCCCCGCCCCGAGTGGGAGTTCCTTTGGGAGAAGCAATCTTCCGGGTGTAGGGGTAAGCGGCATGACTGGAGTGGAAAATTTTCCCCAACACAACCTCGCAGCTGGAGCATATCGAAAGACGTTTAAGGGAACAGGAGCACCAGCTGGGATGACTGAATGAGACGCCTCCTTTTCCTCCAGACTTTCTAGCCACTCGACAGAACGCCAGCCTCAGTTACTTTTCCCACCCTCGGTCTTGGTACGGTCCGTAGAGTACGGAGCCTGCCGAGGGTCCCACGCTGGAAGAGCGAGAGGAGGGTATGTGGGGAAGTGGGCCAATCGGGGCGCGGGTCACGGCGCAGGCGCGCTGGGAGGGAGGGCTATGCTAATGTTGTTGATATCCTGGGGCCACCCGAGTTAAAGGGGGGAAATCCGGGGGCTGCTGCAGCCGCCACCGGTCTGGGCCCAGCCGGGAACCCCTGTAGTCGCCGCAGTCCGGGGGAGAGGCACCTGCCCCCAGCTCGGGGAGGGGGCGCCGCGGGCTCGGGGAGCACGGACAACCCCTACCCATGAGGCCCTGATGGAAAACACAAAGGATCTGGTGAGAGCCGAGCGCGGCAGCCGCTTTGTGTGCCAGGTGGGGGGGCACGCCTCCAGCTCCCTGACCCCGCTCCCAGGCCCGCTCCTCCGCCCCACGCCCCCTCACCCCCCGGAGCCCCCTCCCCCTACCGGCCGTTAAACGTCTCAGGGGCTCCCCTCCCCCACTGCCTCAGCCCGGGACGCGTCGAGGTTCTCTCCGGCTCATCCAGTCGGGAAGGAAATTTTGAAAAGAAAGTTTTTTCTCTACGCCCCCGTCCCCGTGTCGCTGCGGCTGGGGGTTGGGGGTCGGGGGGAAGGCTGGGTCTGAGACTTTTTCCTTTTTCAGCCGCCCGGGGTGGGCGAGTCGAGTCCTCACCTCCCAGGGGGTCGCAGGCGCGGGGTTTGGGGGCTTTGCCGGGGGAGGTGCCGCGAGGCATTTTGCACGTGGAGGTGGAAATGTTGCAAGGGGGCGGGGTGGGCACGTGTGGGAGGGCGGGGTGGGAGTGGTGTTTGGGGCCGCTCCCTTAGAAGGGTCCCGAGGCGGTGGGCTTGGGTGCGCTCGGCGTTCTCCTGAGTGAACTGAGAATCCTCACGTTTCAGAGTCGGAGGAGACGTTAGAGGTCACCACGGCCGCCGTCCCCCGTGCAGCCTCTCTGACAAGTGGTAGGTAGTCTGGCCTCGGGCAGGAAAGCCCCTTCCGTGTTTCAGTGGTTCGCATTGCTGTGTGCCTGTCCTTAGAGATCCTCCGCTGTCATTCGCGTCCTGGTGAAGTTGCTCTTTTTTTTTTTTTTTTCAACTTCTCAAATTTTTCTCTCACATCCTCCTCACCCACCCACTGCTCATTGGCCTATATTTTGTGTACCAGGAAAGAACAGCAGGCAGGGAAGTGGAGGAAAGAGAATGTGAGGGCGAGCGAGGGCCAGCTGAAAACTTTGCCGGGTCGGTGACAAGCGTGCTGGCTTAGACGTCTGAAGAAACTGGTGTTGTGCTTTTTTGTTACACACACACACACACACACACAGGAAACCAGGGAATGACAGTCTGAGGGTTTCCAGGCCGTTTTCTCTCCCTAGTCAGTGCATCTTTTTGAAGTTGGACATTTGAGCGTCATCGGTATAGTCAGCCCTACCATGAAGTGTGTTTGCTTGCTACCTAAACCGCTTTCCCTAAGGAAGCCTGGCGTTGCCTTGTGGTGATGCTACTGAGCCGTTAGAAAGAAACAGCCGGTGGAGCTGAGCAGAGAACAGCATCCCTCTGCCAGCGTTCTCGCTTGTTTAACTTGCCAGAGCTGGTCTCCCACCCAGGAGCCCCTCTTCCAACAACTCCATCATAAAGAGACTTGCAGCTTATGCAACACCTTAGTATTTACTTAGAATTTGCAGTATTTTAATGCTGCTTGCATGAGTACACCCCAGTATTTATCACTGGGTAGTTAAGGCAGTTCAGCTTCAGCTGTTGTCACTCAGTGATTGTCTAAAGCTCTCTTTCCTTTGGAGAGCTAGCTGCCTCCAGTAGTTTAGATGGCATAAGAAGGGGGTGGTGGTACATATGTTTTCCCTTTCCTAATATGGTGAAGTAAGAATTAACACATATTATGTAGAAGTCATGTCTAAAAGCAAGTGAATACATTTTACTCTAAGTTCCTGATAGCCTGTTTAAAAGGTCTGAGAGACCACAATTTTTCCCCTCCCTCTCTTAAGATATGTAGACTGTTTGGTTGCTAAAGGTGTTATTTCTCATTTGTTTACCTCAACACTCAAAAGTCTTTAAAAAGAAAACAGCTGTCTCTTTTTGTACCATCTCCTCTGTATAACAGGTAGCTTCTATTTGTATAGAACTCTGTAGTCAAGGCCTGTGTATACGTTGCATATTATGGCAAAAATCTGTTTTTAAGTATTCAGAGTGTCCTATGTTGGGACATGTTTTTCAACCATCCGAGTTTTAATCCTAATGTAAACTTTGGTATAGCGTTTTCTCTGAAGCTAGAAAATGGAATGTAGTGTGGAATTGAGTACTACGTCACAAACAAAATTACTAGAGCTACATAATTGTGTCTTTCAAGTTTTAATTAATACAGTTCCAAGTTGTTTTCCTGCTTGCTTTAAACATGAAGTGTCATGAGTTAAGTTGACTGGCTTTGGAGATATTTGCATTCTGAACATACTAGACAGGAACAACTGGTTTTATTTTTAAAGAAGACGCTGCTATATTTTTTATGGCTGGTTGTAAAACATAGCATAGTAGCCAAAGGAGGTTGAAACAATGATTTCCTGAATGTTCAACCTCTGAATTACTGAGCCAAGAGCACTCAGTGGTCTGAATGACAGCATTCTAAAGTTAGAACAGTGTTGGGTTGTTCATTTTTCATTATTTTTAATCTTTAAAATAGTTGCTATTTTATATTTCACACTTAAGATTTTAGGATAATTCAGTTAATGTTTCTTTAGTCTCAGGGTTTCAAATTCATGAGATACAGCACCATGATAGTGGAAAGAGGACTTAAAATAGCTGTAATGAGCTAAAACATGTCTCAGCACCAGGGTGTTCTTAACTGTCTCCAAGATGACTTTTATTTTTTATAAAGATTATAGATTGGTTTAGATTAATTATTTTTTAAAAAAAAGTTGTTTTGTTTTAAGATTTATTTGAAAGAATGACAGAAAGAGATCATCTTTCTTCTGGCTTACTCATCCAGGTGACCACAGTGGCCAGGACTGAGCCAGGCCAAAGCCAGGAACCCAGAACATCACCCATGTGGGTGAGAGGCCCAAGCACTTGGGCCATCCTCCACTGTCTTCCCAGGTGCATTAGCAAGAAGCTGAATTGGAAGTGGAGCAGTGAGACTCAAAATAGGCACCCAGCATCCCAGCATTGCAAACGGTAGCTTAACCCAGTGTACCACAATACCAGTCCTAAGAGATTTTTTTTTTTTTTAAGGATTTTTGTTGGGACAGTGAGCCACAAACTTAGAATTTCTCTAATTTTCTGGAAGACCAGACAAAGGGAGGAGGGGGAATAATTTCCATTTGAACAGACCCTGAATATGAAGTATGATGAGATTAGTCAGAGGCCACTGGCAGACTGGGTTAAAATTGAATTCTGCCACAAACTAGCCCTCTAAGTGCTTGCTGTACAGGATCCTGTGCTTTCATTTTCTCATCACAATTAAAGGATTGGGCTAGGTTCAACCTTGTCCAGTAGAAAGTTTTTTTATAGATTGATCAAGGGGACACTGCATTAGATTTCCAAACTTGCTTCTAGTTCTGACTTCAGTCTTGGTAATTTAGAATTTAGTCTAGTAGAAGTGGGCTCTGGAAAGTCAGCAGACTGACTGGACTAGCTCTGCCACCTGTTAAGCTGTTAGGCAAGTTGCATAATCTCTTTGAATTTCATTTTTTCATCTGAAATAATGGGGTATCAGCCATGCCACCCTTCTGAGGGTTCTGAAAACCTCCACTCAGATGTGATGACCAGTGTATGAGAAAATTAAGCTGCTCTGAATAATAAGTGAAATGTAATGATGTCTTCCCAGAACCCCTATTTGTTTTTCTTTCTGTTATCTAATTCTTAGTCTTACAGGCCTCTTTATGTTAAATTATACGCAATACTCATTAATTTATTGAATCATTGTCGTCCAGTTATTTCACTGCAGGTTGCCTAATTGTAGGACATGTGTATTAACTTTTTAAAAACATTTTGGTGTTTAGCATGAGGACTTTTATATATTGCTTTATAAATAAGGATAGTATCTATTACCTTACCTTTACGCTTCAAAATTTGAATGTGCTAATTAGATTATTTTATACCGTGGAGAAGCAGCCACCTTTCTGTGTTTGACCCAATTTTAATTGTTTCATTATTAATACTCTGTAGTTAGTAATTACAAATATTTTGAGCAACAAGTACCTTACATATTTTTAGAAGGCAAATACCATGTCATCATTTTTGTGATGTTGAGTTGTATCAAATCAGAATAAGGCTGAATAACCTGTTTAACTTATTTTCTCTATAGTAACAGATTAAAAAATTATCTTACTTGGTTGCTCAAGCCCTATTTGTGCTACACACCCTACCTTAATATGAATTCTGTTACTTGGGTAGAAGTGATAGGTAGCTGCTAATGAACGTACAGACCCCCTAGGCTGCTCTGTTTCCAGACTTAATTTTGACAAGGTCATCTTATTTTTAATTAGCTTTTTCAGGATCATACTTAAGGATTCATAGCTGTCGTTTGAAGAACTGAAAGTCCATGTGAATTATTTTATCATACATCCTTCCTGTGTGGTAAGTGGTACTTTCCTTATTTGGGCAAGAGGGAAACTGAGACCCAAGGAATGGTTACATTCAAAGTCATATAGAACCATATGTTGAATGTAAATAGGTAAAAACTTATATCTTGTCAATCAAAGAATAGCTTCTTTGTGTTTACTGTTGCTTTAAATGTTGGAATATTATTATGAAGATGTCTGGGAACTTTTCAGCTTTTCTAGTTAGGATATTACTGCTTTTGGTTTCTTCTTGATTTGTATCATTGACACAAATTTATTCCTACTTTTACATTGAACTTGTAGGAAACAAAAGCCCATTAAATCGCAAATCCTTATCATTCGTTTTCCTCATTATAGTAAGCTTAGAAAGAATGAAGGCTTTTCTGTTTTTACTAAGGAGTTTATCACTGTGACAGATACACGTTCTATCCTACTAGAGGAATTAGAAGGAGGTCAGCAAGAGCTAAATAGCTCTGTAGTACCTATTAAGTTCAGTTGTCATAGAGAATCTGTTAATTTCTGTTTTGACCTTTGTGATCTCATGAATGTAACATTTAAGTTTGAGGTTTTAGAAAACAAGTCATACCACAGCATCCCACTTGGCAGACCTAGAACACAAATCATTTCTTTGACCAGTGCATTCATGCTGTGTCCCCACAGGTTATTTAACAGCATTTCAGTGATCAGGTTGTCTGTTGGGGTATCTCAGTGCTTATATGCATGTGCCTTTGTAGTAGCCTAACACTACATCACAGTGTCTACGTTCTCCTGACCTCCTGGCATCACACTACAGTGAGATGTTGAGAGAGAGAGATCACACTCATGTAACTTCTGTTAAGTATATTGTTACTGTTCTATTTTGTTGCTGTTGATCTCTTTCTATGCCTGATTTGTAAGTTAAACTATCATAGTATAAGCTCTTTTTTCTTCTTTTTCATAAAAGGTTTATTTATTTGAGAGGCAGAAGCAGAGAAAGATATCTTCCATCTGCTAGTTTACTCCCCAAATGGCCACAACAGCTTTAGCTGAGCCGATCAGGAGCCAGGAGCTTCATCCTGGTCTCCCACATAGGTGCAGAGGCCCAAGGACTTGGACCATCTTCCACTGCTTTCCCAGGCTCATTAGCAGGGAGCTGGATGGGAAGTAAAGCAGCCAGGACTTGAACTGGCACCCATATGGGATGCTGGCACTTCAGACAGCAGCTTTACCCACTGCAGCACAATGCCAGCCCCAAGGATAAACTCTTACATATTGATATAAAGTGTAATCTTACTTAGCAATAAAAGGTGAACCACTCATAAAACGCAGTAACTTAGGTCAACCTGGAAAACACCATGCCATGCCAAAAAAACCAGAAATGTTCATGAAGTTTTATTCCATTTATGAAAAATCTTACAGCTTGAACATCCCTAATCCAAAATGCTCCAAAATCTGAAACTGAAGACTTAACAGGACTGCACAAGTGGAAAATTTTGCAGCTTGCCTCATGTTAAAACACACACTAAAGCCAGCGCTGCAGCTCACTTGGCTAATCCTCCTCCTGCGGCGCCGGCACCCCAGGTTCTAGTCCCAGTCGGGGCGCCAGATTCTGTCGCCGTTGCTCCTCTTCCAGTCCAGCTCTCTGCTGTGGCCCGGGAAAGCAGTGGAAGATGGCCCAAGTCCTTGGGCCCTGCACCTGCATGGGAGACCAGGAGGAAGCACCTGGCTCCTGACTTCAGATCGGCGCAGCGCACTGGCCCCAGCAGCCATCTGGGGGGTGGAGCAACGGAAAAAGGAAGACCTTTCTCTCTGTCTCTCTCTCACTGTCTAAATCTGCCTGTCCCATGACAAACAAAAAAGAAAAAAAACCTAAAGTATTCTATAAAGCTATAAAGTTACCTTCATTCTATTCAGATATGAAGTGTATATAAGATGTGAATTTCATGTTTAGATTTAAATGTCATCCTCAAGATAACTCGTTATGTATATGCCTATATTCCAAAATGCAAGCACTTGTGTTTCAGATAAGGATACTCAATCTGTATGTGCCACATTAACGAAAGTTGACAGAAATTGACTGGGAAAGTACATGAGGAAACATTCCAGAGTACCAAAAAGTCCTGTATTTCAATATATATTCAAAAGTATACCTCAATGTTAAAAAGTTGTTGTAGGCCAGCGCCACGGCTCACTAGGCTAATCCTCCACCTTGCGGCACCGGCACACCGGGTTCTAGTCCCGGTCGGGGCGCCGGATTCTGTCCCAGTTGCCCCTCTTCCAGGCCAGCTCTCTGCTGTGGCCAGGGAGTGCAGTGGAGGATGGCCCAAGTACTTGGGCTCTGCACCCCATGGGAGACCAGGAGAAGTACCTGGCTCCTGCCATTGGGGCGGCCATTGGCGGGTGAACCAACGGCAAAGGAAGACCTTTCTCTCTGTCTCTCTCTCACTATCCACTCTGCCTGTCAAAAAAAAAAAAAAAAAAAGTTGTAGTGAGGAGAAATACACATTAGAAAATTTATGAAAAATAATAAAAATGCTACACATCAGAATCTGTGGAATGCATACAAAACAGCTGAGAAAAGTTCATAACCCTAAACTCCTGTATCAATGAAAATAAGTTCCCAAGTTGTATATGAAATGAATAAGAAAGTAAGTCAAGAGAAAATACTGAAAAGGAAATAATAAAGGTAAAAGTAGAAATTAATGAGTTAAAGTACAGAAAAATTATACATTTAATTGAGTCGGTCCGGGATATTGAGGGGAAATTCACAAAGTAAACCCCTAGCTATTTTAACCAAGAAGAAAAAGAAAGTACAAATGCACAAAAAATGACCAGGGAGAAACACTGGATACAGAGGAAGCTGAGAAAATCATGCAAGACTATTTAAATGTCTCTATGCAAATAAATTTGAAAATGTAAATAAAGTGGGCAATTTCTAAGGTACAATATTATAAAATTGACCTCATTGGAGATTGGGAAAAAAATCCACAGAAGAAATAGAAACTTATCAAGGAGCTATCAAATAAAACATGAGGCCCAAGGGGTTTCATCGTGAATTCTGTCTCAGAGAACAGATGATCCCATGGCTCTGAATATGTAAAATGACAAGAAACTTTTATTTTGATAAAGCAAGAATACTGATTTCTGAGCCTGATAAAGATGGATCATAAAAGTTACAATTACAGATAAATGCTACTGATGAATATCAGTGGGAAACTGCTGTGTAATAGCACATATTAATAAGATATAAGTACTGGCTGGCGCCGCAGCTCACTAGGCTAATCCTCCACCTACGGCACCGGCACCCCGGGTTCTAGTCCTGGTCGGGGCGCCGGATTCTGTCCCGGTTGCTCCTCTTCCAGTCCAGCTCTCTGCTGTGGCCCAGGAAGGCAGTGGAGGATGGCCCAAGTGCTTGGGCCCTGCACTTTTTATTTGAAAGACTTTGTGTTTGAAAGGCAGAGTTAGTAGGAGAGATGGAGAGACAGATATTCCATCTGCTGGTTTACTCCCCCAAATAGCAGCAGTGGCTAGCTGGGCCAGGCCAAAGCCAGGAGCCTACAGTTCATTCCAGGTCTCAAGTCCCATGTGGCTTCTGCTGTTTTCCCAGGCACGTTAGCAAAGAGCAGCTGGGACTCAAACTGGCACCCCGATATGGGATGACAGCATCATAGGTGGCGACCTAACCCACTGCGCCATACCAGCCCTTCCATCAACTTTTTTTTTTAACTTTTATTTAATAAATATAAATTTCCAAAGTACAGCTTATGGATTACAGTGGCTTCTTCCATCAACTTTTTGAAATGCCCTTGTATAGTCATTTACCACATAATGTTTGGTCGACAAGTAGTGAGAAAAGATTCTGATGGAGCTGAAAAATTCCATTATGTTCGTAGTGATGTAGCAATCTTAATGTCATAACACAAAAAATTGTTAGTGTGCGTGGTAGTGCTGTTGTAAACCCATGCTGTCAGTCATAGAAAAATGCAGTACAGGTGCTGACACTGGCACAGTGGATTAAAGTGATGGCCTGCAACACCAGCATCCTGTGGGCACTGGTTCAAGTCCCAGCTGCTCCACTTCTAAGCCAGCTCCCTGCTAATGTACATAAAAAAGCAACAGGAGATGGCCCAAGTCCTTGGAGCTGCTGTACCCACATGGGAGATCGGGAGGAGGCGCCTAGCTTTGGCCTGTCCTACCCCTGTCCATTGCAACCATTTGGGGAGTGAGCCAACTGATGGAAGACCTCTTTCTATCTCTCCTTCTGTCTCTCTAACTCTGCCTTTTAAATAAATAATTAAAGCTTTAAAAAAAAAGAAAATGTAGTACATGCAGTTGTGTTTAGTGCATAGTACTTGATAAGTGGTTTTTGTGTGTTTTCTATACTTTCATCATTATCTTTTTACTGAATGCTATATTAGCAGCAACAGCAGCCTCTTACATCTCACGTTTACTGTACTTGATTTATTCTTGTGGTGTTTTCTTCATCATGACCCCTAAGCATTCAAAATCCACTGTTAATATTGCTAGTAAGAGGCTATATTAAGTGAATAGGCTAGAAATAAAATTAAAAATGATTAAAGACTACAAAGATTGGAAATTCAGTGATAGAGCTTGCTTGCCAATCAGGCACATCCCATTTCATCATAGCTATGATCTTACAGAACAAGAAGGAAGTAACAGAACTTATTAAGAATCTGTCACATTGAAAGCAACAGTTTTTTTAGTAGTCCATTTTTTCTGTTGCTATAACAAAATACCTGAGGCTCATTACTTTATAAAGAAAAGAGGAAGCCAGAGAGATTCAGGAACCAGGCTTGCCTGTTTTGTAACAGCCTGCTATCTGAGGAACTGACCATAGTTGCACAAGAATGACATTAATCCTTCCCAAGGAAAGCACTTGCAAGGAAAACACTCTCACACTGTGGCCTAATTAGTATCCAATAAACCCCACCTCTTAGAAGTTCCACCTTCTTTAACACCAACACCCTGGGGATCCTACTTCGAGCACATGAACCTTCGTGAAGGATACACTCCAAG